CATTCTCCAGCCATTGTCCTGTAGTTGAAATAAATTACCAAAATAATTGAAAGCAGTGTGATCAGATTGCATTATTTTAAAAAAACATGCAGAATTTTGCAGAATTTTAAAATAAAATACGCTGAATTTTTAAAAATTTTGGCGCAGAATTCCCCCAGGAGTAATCCTTTCGTCTCCCTCCCTTTCCAGACGGTAGCTCGGTTGGGTGTCCATTTGTGAAGCGTTGTAGAGAGGGAGGCTTGGTTTTGCATTGAACTCTGAACCCAGTGAGGTGAATGGCATGTTGTTTTTTCACTTAAATTTCCTCTGTGCCTGTACCTGCTTTTGACATGATCGGATTTAACTGCCTCACAGGGGGGTTATGTAAATGAAAATGGTGAAAGTACTTTGATACCTGCTAAGGAAGAGGCTGGTGCTGGTATTGTGCTTGCTGTGGGCTTTTTCAATATTTTAAGCAAAGTTGTGGCTGGGCGGATGCAGCCCTGAGCCCAGAAAGAACCATAGATAAATCCTCCAGGAGGCTGGAGAGGCTGTGGAGGAACTGGCCAATCAGAGGCCTGGGAGATCTACAAAAGGAGCTGCAAAGCTCAGCAGCACTCAGTGTGGGGAAGAGCTCATGGTGAGCAGACTGTGAGTAGGCCCGGCCAGTGTTTACGGGGCTCAAGGCGGCATGTTGTGGTTGGCTGCACCGCATGGCCAGGCGGCTCCCAGCCAGGGCAGCAAGCGAGCAGCATGGGCCCCTGAAGGCACAGGGCTCAAGGCAACTGCCTTACTCGCTTTGCCCTATGGCCAGGCCTGACTGTGAGGCTGGGTTAGGAAGTTGTCTCCAGGAGGGGAAGCCAAGTGGGGAAAGGGACTGAGGAGAAACAAACTGAGACAGATTTGGAGACACCAGCAGAAGGCACCGAGAGGTCCCCTGTTAGGCGTGTACCCTGGGAGGGGTTGTGATTCACACAGGGTATAACTTGGCTAGAGGGCTGAGTAGCCAAAAAGGCGGTGAAGACTGAGGACAGTACAGGCACACACACTCAGACAGACAGGGGCGCTCATGGGAGGTGTGTCTCCCCCTCACAAAACTTGGACTCTGTTTGGGCACCAGGTACAGGCACACGCACTCAGCCAGACGGGGGCGCTCGAGGGAGGTGTGTCTCCCCCTCACAAAACTTGGACTCTGTTTGGGCACCAACGATGGGTACTTGGGTGCATGTCACTGTATCCATTCAGAGGCTTCCGAAAATATTTGCATCCAGGATGGGCCGGCAGAGATTAGACCGAATCGGGGGAGGGAGAAGACCTTTCAGGGCTCTGACTGTTTGTGCTGGAAGAGGGAGGGTAGCTACAAATCTGGACGGAGTTTAATTGAGAGACTTTCAGAGTCTCTTCTCTCAGTCGTGAGTGGAACGAACCTGGGGCCTCTGCCAATTTCTGTTCTTCATTACCTTCCTGGTATTACATTTTGCTCGAGCAGCTGGTCCACCGTATAGCTTCCCTCCCCGTGCGGCAGCTACTCCACCCAGCAAGCAGTTCCCCACACGCCATCTGTTGATCTTCGTTCCCCATTAGTTACGTTTCCTGTGTCGATGCAATTTGTGCTTCTCTGTCATTCACGTCGCCAGCACGTTTCTTTCGCTCCTTTTGACTCCCACTTCGGAGCATGATCATTATTGTGGTTTTCTTACCCGGTATTTAGGCTCTTCCCAGCATTTAATCACATTAGCTCTTGGGCGAATTGAGTTCTGCCCTCTGGGAGATTCATTTGTGTTCCCTATCACAGCTCCGAAGGGTAACACCAGACTCGCCGCCATCCAAACCATCTCAATGGCTTCATTTAAGGACATTGCTCCAAGCCATAAATTGTATTTTAAAGTAGAAAACTCTAAATGGTTTTGCTGATCCCCCTCCCACCCTGTTGTGTGAATCTGAAGCAGGAATATAGCTCCTAAGCCCTTTATCATCTGCAGGAACAAACTATTTGGAAGTAGCAGCGTATTCTCTCTCAGCTCTCTGGTCACGTCTCATGTTGCTTGCATATATTCCAGGGGGATATTCTTAAACACCTTGTGGAGGCTGTATTGGCATTCTGCACAAGTGCAATGTTTATCTGGGACTTCTGCAAGCTTTAGACTGCAAGCTTCTTTTGGAAGAAGCTTATCTGGAAGAGATATTCAGGAAAAACTTATTTTGAAAGAGAGCGTGTACACAGCAAAAGCGCAGTTTCGAAAGATAGCATTGATTGGACGCTATCTCGCATTTCAGTTGTGATTACTATGGACGGAGTAAACCAGGGCACCTGTGCTTTTTCCTGGCGGCCTCTTCTTTTGGAAAAAACACTCTCTTCCATGTCCGTACATGCCTTTCTCTGGAAAAGCTTTTTCGGAAAAAGGCTTCTTCCTCGTAGAAAGAGGTTTACCACTGTCAGAAAAACCCGTGTTCTTTCAACTTTCTGTCAATAGATGGCAATAGCAGTGTGGACATAAGTGTAGTTTTTCTGGAAAAACAGCTGTTTTTCCGGAAAAAACTCTGCAGTATAGACATACCCTGGCTTTGGTATTGTAATGTGCCCATTGGAGAAGAAACAGGCGACCCAGGAGCGGATGGAGTAAACGGTCCTCTTTATTGCAGATACCCGTTCCCCTCCGACCCCCAACACGTTCCAAATGAGCAATGATTTGGCACCAGTTGCACTCCTGCGTCCGTTTGAGTATGTGAATTCACACATCGCTCACTACTTCCCCATAATCCTTATTTAGTAGTGTTAGCTCTTATCACATGAATATTAATAGGCAGGTGATGAATATTATTATACCCCTTCTCCCGTTTACAGGATTTTCAGTTGGATCAGCACTTGTCTACATTACATACTTCCCAAATCAGCAGCATATAGAGATTACAAAGGCTGTGACCCTGAAAGTGTTTTTACAGAGCAAGTGAGAAGACAAAATAAAGATGACACTGTCCAGGGCAGCTTTCTTTCTAGGCTGCGAGGACGAAGAGGGGGAAAACGTGTTCAAAGGACAATTATTGCTCTGGCCAGACCCCTACCACTAATGTATAGCAACCCAAGCCCTTGTTAATTCTTACACGTCCCACCAGTGCCAATCACATTAGTGTTGGCTCTCAGGGTGGAATAACTCCATTTTACTCAATGGAATTACCATGCTACGATATTATACATCAGTGGACGCTTAAAGAGGTCTTACAGTAAGGATAAGATGGATGATTTGGGATTCTCTGGCTTAATCCTATATCTTTGCTCAATATTCAAACCAAAGCTCTTAGCGGTCCCAAGACGTTTGTTTCAATTTCTGCATTTTCAGCTTAGAGTGGGGAGAGGGGGAAATGAAAATGCCCAAATCTATGAGAAGGGCAGTTCTTGCTGTCCAGTATCAGAGGGATAGCTGTGTTAGTTTGAATCTGCATAAACAACGAGATGTCTCATGTATCACCTTATAGACTAACAGATTTATTGGAGCATAAGCTTTCGTGGGCAAAGTGACGAAGTGGGTCTTTGCCCACGAAAGCTTATGCTTCAATAAATCTGTTAGTCTATAAGGTGCCACAGGACTTCTCGTAGTTCTTACTGTTTTTCCAGCTGACTGGAAATATGAAAGACGCTGCTCTTCTGAGACTTTGAGCTGCAGTCTTCAGACACTCAAAGTTCGGTTAAGTTTCACAGAAGGGTCTTCACAAATGGGAGTTTTTCTGAGCTAGACCTACAGTTTTGCCATTTTGGATGTTGCGTCAAGATGCCTGACCAGTTAGAAGTCAGGCTTTTTGTCTTGGTGGTTGTGGAAAACCTTCTTTTACTCCACCACCAAATTATAAAAGCAAATCTGACTTCATTTTTGTTTTTTGCCTTCTCCTGCCTGGTTAGAAGCCATGGCAGACTGGCTGTTTAAAGAAGAAAGAACTGTAAAGAAAGAAACAGAAAAAAAAAAAGTTATATTGCTCTGGAACGGTTGAGAATAATTTTTGTTTTGAAAGAAGAAAAACAGAATTGCTGGGGTGCAGAGCGGTGGGGGAGAGTTTGTGAAGAAAATAGAAAAAGGCAGGAAGTGAACTGAGAAGAATAAGCTAATTATCCAGGTGATGTTGCAAGCATCACTTCTGGGGATGGAACCGGTGGTACATAATGATGTCAAATTGCAGGTCTGCGGCACCTGCCAGAGGGTCTAACAACCCTTCTCTCCTATTAGACTGTGTGGTCACTGCAATTAGACAGCTTTAAGAAAATGCACCTGTTAGATAGGCTCCAGCAGAGGATTGAGAATTTGTGTGTTTCAGTAAGCTACCAGTCAACTGCACAGTGAATATTTCTCATATCTCTGTGGTGCTGTATTGTAGACACAATGTGTTAGTATGTAGCAAGATAAATTGTTAGCTTACCACAAATTTCTGTTCTGCTGTTTACGGAAATAAGCCTTTATAAGCATGTTTACACTATGCGGAAGATCAATGCTGCCGCAATCAATTTTTCAGTGGTTTGATTTAGTGGGTCTAGTATAGACCTGCTAAATAAAACTCAGAGGGTACCCTGTTGGTGGCCAGTTCTCCTGCTCCTCACAAAGAGTAAAGGAAGATGACGGGAGTGTTTGCTCCTATCGGCCTCCTGCTGTAAGGACAGCATGGGAATGCGATGTAAAATACATTGACTCCAGGACTGTTGTGATTACAGGATGTCCCCGCTGTAAGTCGCCCTGGTAGACATTGGTTCCGCACTAGCGTCGACGTTTGTGGGAACTGTTCTGTTCTAAGTCCTCCCATTCCCTATTCTTTCATCGCGCGAGTATAAAAAAAAGACCAATTCACACAAACAGAAGTCAACCATGGGGTCCCCGCTTCACATACTTTCGTTTTAAGTCCACGTTTTTTTGAATGTTTCTTGGACTTATAGCGAGGACACCCTGTACCTACTGTAGCAGAGGAAGGGGCTTGGTTTATCACGTTGCTTGACTGATCTGAATTGCCAACTCTCTTGTTTTTCTCTGTCTCTCTCACAGAGGGTCTAGCTGTTGGCGTTGGGTTTGGAGCTGTGGGGAAATCAGCATCAGCAACCTTTGAAAGTGCCAGGTAAGCTACGTGGGTGTTTCTGATCCTGACATTTAAAACTTTATGCCCATGCTTGCCTCTCAGAAATATTACTCTTGATCTCGGAAGGCAGCGTGAAACTCAACAGTGTGATTGGCGAGATGAGGAAGGGTTAGTTTAAACTGGCCAGGACAGCAGAAGGAATTCTTTCTTCTGTGTGACTTTTCTATTGGCTGCAGTCAGGGCTGGTGAGAGACTTTGCTGGGCCCTAGTAAGCGTGGGAGGAAGAAGGCTTGACTCCGGGTCCTCCGGAAGGGAGAGGGCCTCGTGCAGAAGGGGTGGAGCTTGGGGCTAGCTTCCCCCACCCTGCCTGGGGCTCTGACGGTGATTTAAAGGGCCCAGGGCTCCAGGTGCTGCTGAGGCAACTTCCCCCTTTGTGTCCCCCTCCACGCTCCACCCTGCCTCCCATCGGCAGCTCTGGCTGCAGTTGAAAGTTTCTGCCACTCTTGGAAAGTGCTTTCCACTCCCACGCCACTAGTCACACAAATAGAGCTGACCCAGGTGATAGATGAGGACAGTGACCCAGAACAGTGTTTGCCTGTTTGGGGCTAGGTCTACACTGCAGTTGTGGCTGGTCCATGTCAGTTGACTCTGGCTCCCACGGCTTGGCTACCGGGCTGTAAAATAGCAGTGTAGGCATTTGGGCTCTGAATTCTCTGCCGCTGGCAGGACTGAGCCCCCAATGAGATTCTTGCAGGGCAGATGTCACCCGGGTGGCACCGGGCCTTCCCGAGCTGGTAGGAAGCGGAACCCCAGTGTTGCTTGGAAACGCTGCTCTGTCGGCCTAGTGATTCTAGCAGTCGCATAGGCCCAGATTTTCCAGTAGCCACCGCCAGGTCACATTCCACACCCGGCCTCTCTTTGGCGCGTTTCAAAACACTGAATCAGGGGAGGGTTTTAAAGTGCGACGTCTCTCCCGTGCACACACCCGGAGGGGTTGCTAAATCGATGCCCAATCAACGAGCACCGGAGCGACTCCGGTGTTTGCCACAGAGATGTTTGGCCATGGAACTGTTTTGTACTGCAGCACGCCTCAACCCCGGCAGCCGCAGCTTGCTTCAGGAGCGTGGCTGAGTCATGTAAGAAATGAATAGGAAACCTGCGTGCCTCTCGGTCGGGGAGAATCATTGATCTTCCACTTGGCACCGGCTTTTCCCTCCCACCCTTCGTTTCATAATATCATTTAGCTGCCTCTAATTTCCTCACGCCCTCATTGGCTTGTCTCCAGCGTGGAGGAGTGGGATTTGAAATGGCTGAAATTCCTCTGCCTCTGAGAAATCCGTGCATCAGCTGTCACTGGGGCCAGCGTCCTGCTTTCCTCAGCTGCGGCCCTGCCAGGCGGGGGTGGAGGAGCTGGGAACTTCAGACTCATTAAGGTCGTCGACCGAAGGGCGGTCGTCGTGGGCAGCTGGCGCGTGTGGGCGTCGTTCTATTGCATGCGGGACGTAGAGCGGGGAGTCGCTCTGGAGTCTTTTCTGCTTCAGAACTGTGCAAAACGTTAAGCAGCCTGCTTAGGAGGGGCCTCTCGGCTGGCTTCTGTCAGGCTCGCTCGCCTGCTGTTCAAGAAATTTGCTCCCTGAGGAGCAAGCTGTGCCACAGGGGACAGTGCGGGAGCGGTGGCAACAAATCTGTTTCAACACGAGCGGTTTATCCTCTGGGCCGCTGGCCATGAAGGCTTTGCCTTCACTACTCATCCTGAAGAGAACCACCGTTGTTGCTAGCTCAGGGCAGGTCTAGGTGGCAGGGGAGAAAACGCCAGCATCCTCTTGGAACTTGTGCCCTTGGTGGAGTTGTACCCATGCGAAACTTTTAAAGGGAAGGCGAAAATGTGTAGAGCATGAATCTGGGCCGAGTCCTGGCTCTATTAACTGAAAGGAGATTCCAGAGCTAGATCTGAATAACAGAACTACCCACAACAGGCAGTGGAGACATTTCCAGCTTACAGCAAGCCATGACGGGGGGCGGACATCCCTTCCCTTCCAGGGGTGTGTCTGCTGCCAAACATCTGGGACCATGAGTCCGAGCCCACGTCTGGGACTTGGAGCTCATGCCACGGTGCTATCAGTAGTCATGGAGACGTTCCCACTAGGTACCAGGAACCTTCCTTGGGTTTCAGAGCCCACGCTGGAACCTCTGTGCAGCTACTTTTGGTGCTGTAGCGCGAGCCCGAGTCGGTTGCCCTGGCTCTGAGACTTGCTTCCGTGAGTCTCTTGTAGTGTAGCCTTGCACCCAGCACCCCACAGGGGTCGAGCGTCCAAGCCTCAGTCAAGCCAGGACCTTGGGTTCAAGCCCCATGGCTTTGCAACGCTGATGCAGCCCCGCTGCACACGGGCCCAGGGAGTTCACCACAAGTATCTCATAGGCTGACTTGCTTTGTCCTCTGGCCAGTCAAGTTTTCCCAGGCCACCCCACAGATAAAGCGGGAGAGCAGCCGTGTTTCGGGAGGGCGCGAGGTAGGCTGGGCTCTGGTGGCTGAATTTGGGCCTGCGTAATGCAGTGTAGGTGCTGGAGCCCAGGCTGGGACTAGAGTTTAATAATTCCCAACCTGGAGTTACAAATGGTGCTAAAGTCCTAGGTTAACAAACTGGGTCTGCTGCCTCAGGTTCCACTAACCCGGGGATTACACTGTGGAGTCAGGGGGGCTGACAGAATTGCCCTGGGCAAGGTAGGAGGGGCAGCTCCATGCTCCCAGCAGGGGGCGGAGCCTTGAGGAGAGGGGGCGGAGTTGGGACAGCCAGCCCTCATGACTGCCCAGAGCACGCTGTGCGGGATTCCAGTGGTGGGCTGACAGAATTGCCCTGGGCAAGGTAGGAGGGGCAGCTCCATGCTCCCAGCAGGGGGCGGAGCCTTGAGGAGAGGGGGCGGAGTTGGGACAGCCAGCCCTCATGACTGCCCAGAGCACGCTGTGCGGGATTCCAGTGGTGGGCTGACAGAATTGCCCTGGGCAAGGTAGGATGGGCAGCTCCATGCTCCCAGCAGGGGGGCGGAGCCCTGAGGAGTGGGGGCGGAGTTGGGACAGCCAGCCCTCATGACTGCCCAGAGCACGCTGTGCGGGATTCCAGTGGTGGGCTGACAGAATTGCCCTGGGCAAGGTAGGATGGGCAGCTCCATGCTCCCAGCAGGGGGGCGGAGCCCTGAGGAGTGGGGGCGGAGTTGGGACAGCCAGCCCTCATGACTGCCCAGAGCACGCTGTGCGGGATTCCAGTGGTGATTTAAAGGGTCCAGGCCTGGATCTCCAGCCACTCCTGCAGTAGTAGTAGCTGGGAGTCCCGGGGCATTTGCCCCTTTTGCCCCACCCTGTCGATGGGCCTGTGTCGTGCACACATTCTTTCAATCAGTGGCTCTCAACCTTCCCAGATCCCTCTGCCCCTTTCAGGAGTCTGATTTGTCTTGTGAACCCCTGAGTTTCGCCTCACTCCAGAGCAACTTGCTTTAGAAAATCAGACATACGCATACACACGTGTCTCAGCGCAGTGTTACTGAAAAATTGCTTACGTTCTTATTTTGCCATAGAATTATAAAATAAACTAACTGGAATAGAAATAGTGTGTTTCCATTTCAGTGCATGGTGCGTAGAACAGTGTTACTAAGTCATCGTATGAAGATTTAGTTGGGTGCTGCTTTCTCTGGTACTTTTTACTGTTGTAAAACTAGGCCAACATCTGGATGTGTTGATGTACCCCTGGAAGAGCTGTGCATACCTCCACAGGTACACATAACCTGGCTGAAAACCACTGCCCAAGTGGTCCGTCCTGGCTAACCTGCCAGGTTCTTCTGGGGAGGGTGTTACCTGAGTCCCACCTTCCCAGGACTGAAGCAGCAGATTTCCTTTATATATAGTCCAGCAGGCAGTGTGGCAAGATTTTGACCATGCCCAATGGGTCCTGCACTCCTGGCGGACAGTGTCTGCCTCAGAGGCTCTCTGTGACCCTCCCCACAGCCCCATGGTCACAGGGTCACAGCCTACTGAGCCATACTCATCACAGGCTAGTTCACTGTTTGGGGTGAAAACCCCTCCATAGTCCTAGTCTCCCCTCTGATGGGGAGACTGTAGTGGGAAAGTTTGGGGGCTCACCCACTACTCTGGGTTCTGGCTTAGGACCCCTAGATAGCAGCAACTCATGGGGATTTTCCCCCTATCCCCAATACAGCAACCTTGTCCCTGGGCCACTTCCCCTTCTCCCAGGTACCTGAGGGTATCTTTCCTGCACCTTTTTGCAATTCTCAGCTCTCCGGCAATGCACGTCCTCCTCTCAGTCCTTCAGTCTTTTCCTTCCCTCTCCCATACCCAGGGGGAAATCTTTTAAAGCAGCCCCACAGGCCTTAATTGGCTGCAGGTGTCTGATTAGCCTGCTGCTTCAGGAAAGCTCTTAACTAGCTTCAGGTGCCTTCCTATCTTGATTAAGTGCCAGCAAGCTATTTACCCAGAGCCCTGCATACCTGCCCTCCATTAGAGTGCGGCAGCAAGCTGGTCTGGGTCTGTCACAGTAGTTAGATGATACTTAGTCTGCTGACCCATCTCCACCATGTTAGACACTACAACTCCCAGCAATCCTGGGCTTAAAGGAGCGGTGTCCCTGTAAGAGATATGCTGCTTGTACCTATTCTGTTACCCAGAGCTAAGGATTGGCTAGTACCAAACTGTGCTTTCCACTTCCCTCCCCTCCCGTGGCCGTTGGAGCACTTAGAAAAAGCACGTTCGCTTTCTTCGCCGGCTGCTCCTCCTTCTCTCCTTGCTCTGTTCTGATCAGCAGAGGGAAAGATTTGCAACGTGCTACAGCCGAGCACACACCTGGGAGACTGGCGATTTGGCAGCGCGTGAATGAGCTTGCAGCCATGACGATAACTCCGCTGGATTACAGGGTGCCACAGTAAGCCCCAGACCATTAAGGAGAAAAACAGCCTGCCGTTTTTTGCTGAGAGCCTCTCGCTGTGACGGCTGCTCCTTTCCATCCTTGCAGGCCATTTCTCTCACGGAGCCG